ACACACACACACACACACACACACACACACACACACACACACACACACACACACACACACCCACACACCCACACACACACACACACCACGTGCGCGTTCACACACGCGCGCACATGCACGCATGCACACAGCAATAGGTTTTCAGGTGGAACAAGGTCTTAATATTCTAGTATTTTTCTACCTGGGTTCACTTATATTCGCAATTGGGGTTCACTTTAAATAATAAATGTGAGATACCAAAACACGCAACTCAAAGCGTTTGTAACTTAAACATTACTGTTTACTGATGCGCTAATACATACAATTGCGCTAACAGGCGCGCTTATCCCACGACTATCTAGATAGTGTCTCCATTCAGGTATCGTATCGTTAAACGTGTAAATAAACAGATCCAAACCAACGAGATCTATTTGATAGATTTCCTGCTTTATGATGAATTTGGCGAAGAAGAATTCTGAACATCTGTCGATTCATGTTGGCAACACGATGAGCTGTTTTCTTGACTATGACCTTATTCACACCATAATCGCAGCTCCCCATCGATTCACTCGAATTTGTTTACGAGACAAATACTTACTCTGTGATTAAGCTGTGAATGAGATAATGGTCATCAAGGCAGCCGACCGTGTTGCAAACCTAAATCGGCAGGTGTTAAACACGCGTAAATGGGGGGATTTTATGTATATAAAGACATAATTGTCACGAATCGAACGCCATATTGAAAAAGCAGCTGGGGTTTTTCTGTGGGAATAAGCGCATGGACGATGAGCCGGAGTAGTATAAAAATCCGTGCATTTCCAGCTTGTTTCATTCGGGCACTGGATTTCTGATTCAAAGATGAAGCTTCTAATCAGCTTGGCTTTGGTTTGTGTTGCCGCTGCGAGCTTGCCGGCAGGTACGTATGCGATGTGATTCTATTTAACTTGTTGAATCGTTATGAATAAAATTGCTTTTTAATTTGATGATTTTGACTATACACTGAGGCAAACCCCGCCGGTTAAGGGTATTAGCCTAACATAATGTTGTTTGACAACTGGATATTCGTATTTAACGCTTGTCTAACTCACAGTTGACATTTGTTAAGAAATTCGTTAGGAAAGAAAAGGCAGGTTCAACTTCAATTCATCGTTCTTTCCATTTGAAAAATTTCAATCGGAACAATAATTATTTATTTATATAATGAGTTGTCATTTATTTATTTATTTAACTATCTATATCTATCTCTCTCTCTCTCTCTCTCTCTATATATATATATATATATATATATATATATATATATAGCGCGTAAGCGAGAGAAATAGAAAGAGAGAGAGTCACGGGTTGTTAGTAACACCTCGTATTAATTGTATATGTATATCTATAGTTATATCAGAGTTATATCATATAAAGATCTTGATCTTGATTATATCTTGATCATATCTATAGTTATATCATATAAAATTTCATTCTGTTTTAAGGTCTGCACCCTGACAGGCCCAGATGGCCACGCCTACCAGAAGGTACTTTGTGCATATTGTGTTACCGATTAGTATACAGAAACAGCTAGCGGAATTACACTTAGTTATGCCTATACGCTGTAGCGAGATACTAGCATGTAAACTATATTATTGTAGCGTATATAACTGAAATATAGGACCGTATAGGTGGTGAACAACAGTAGAGTGCGTCCATAGGCGGCAGGCCTGAATAAGCAACGAACAGAAATTGATTAAAAATACTCACACTGTTACTTCGCATACACAATATGCACTTCATTCATGTCAAATAACTACAGATTCATGCACTATGCTTCACTCTGAACACATTTCAAACACAAAAATGACCAACCGGTCGCTGTGGCTACGCCACCTGACGGAATGTCACAACTACACGACTAGACCAATTTTACTTACCTAATGCTTTCTAGACGTCCACGAGGCATCTAACTTGCGTGTATAATGAAAATAATTGCACTCTAGTGCCGAATTTGGGCGAAAGAAAAATGACAAAAAAAGGCCTTTTCTAGAGACGAAATAGTTCAACGGTGAACAATTTGCGGAGGCTTACTGTTGCATGCCACCTTATATTAGAAGCATACTATGATTACAGGGTTCCATCCAATGGATGATTCTAGAATTGTTGGCGGTGATCTCACCACCATCGAGAATTTCCCTTGGCAGGTAAATGAGCAGTAGCAACGCAACCATCTTACCATCGCACCACCTTCCTATCGTTAGTTCTAGACATAACATATAGTATATATATATATATATATATATATATATATATATATATATATATA